AAACCATTTGCCCTGCCTCAAAATACATTTCAGGCGGCCAATTTGTTTGTTTACATATTCCTACACCTGAAACAGGCAGTTGTAATTATAGTCGAGCAGTTGTAATTATAGCCTATATAATTACACTTGCCCTCTAACACTGTTGTAATGGGACGGCGCTTGGGCAAATGTAAATATATGATGACTAACATCATAAATCATTTGTCATTGCTCAGTTAATCAAAGAATACAAAACCAAACATGGGAGTGATTTTTTTCTATTTTATTACGTAAAGTGTACACTTGCCTCCTGAGGAAGACATTCTGTTTTGTTAAGTCGTTCTAGTTACATAATAAGTCAGTAAGAATAACAAATGTAAGAGATGTAGAAATAGGAAGAGATTCTTTGTCTGTGTTAATCAAAAAGTATACCAGTTGTCTATTTATTATGAATTTAAATTGCTTTAAGCGTTTACTATTCAATAGAACAATATATAGAAAAGACAGATTCTACATCAAAAACATGTAATACAATTAAAGACATATAATCTCATTTCATAATACTACATGATGCATTGAGTAGTATCATTAAAATAAATGTCATTGAAACAAGAAAAGTAATTATACAATGAAAATGCATCAATATTGTGAGAATGTCAATTGTTGTTTTCAAAATTTAAACAATATATGACGTTTGTGTAGTACTGCTAAATGCTATGAGGACGCTTTTCCATTCTTAAGCTGTAATACATTATAGAAATTGTGATCTAAGGTAAAGAGTATTATATGTTAAAATACATTATTACTGTTGCCATTATTATAAAATATTTGTTTTTATAGAGGCTTGGGTGTTCAAAACAAATAAATAATATACAGGGACTGACCTTTCCACAGGGAATTACAAAAGCATCAGTGACAAGGGAAGTAACTCTTATGCAAAATAACACTAATTTTAGTTTCTCCTTATATGGTTTTATGTCAAATCAACAGCTAAGGTAATTTAATCACGTTTCAGCTGAAGTGGAACTTATCTTCATAACTATAACTTAACTGCAGTAGTATGCCTTTACCTTCAGCATATTAAAGCAAATTAATTTCTACATAGAATATAAATTTCTAACCATCATTGCCATCAAATAACATTAACAAAATGAGACAGCAGTTAATATTGTAATTTCATGAAATCGTTAACTAATGATTGATTTCCAGCTTTTGATTTGACAAGTAACATTTATTTACAATTAAAGAATAAACTCACAACAATTTACATATCTTTATCATTTCAATGAGATTAAATTAGGCAAGAAGTTATTTATGCTGGTCTTTTTATGAGAGGAACATCAATTTTTATGAAAATATAGAAATGATCCTCTTGTTTTTGATTATGTCTTGCAGCATTAGGCGAAAGCACCATGATTATCTCCCTTGAATAATGGCTGGGCAAGTCAGCTGAGTAATCAATACAAGTAGATATTACAAGAAATGCCCTTCCTCTCGGGACACTCTGCATCGACAAACGTATATTCATAATCAATGTTAAAAATTCTGGTTACATTATTTCCTTCATAATTGAAAATTATTTACAAAATAACTAAAAATATTATAAGAATGTTAGAAGTGGAATGTTCAACACAGTCAGAATAGGTATCTCACCAATATACCTTTAACATGGGAAGGTTAGTAAATCAGGTAAGTTTGAACCTGAGGTTAGTATAACATATAGAGGGTATTCTTGTTTTATTGATGATATAGGTAACAGCTTTATTTCATGAGTGGGGTGAATATTTTGATATTTTTCATGAGTGGGTGGCATGAATGAAAAAATATGAAAAATATATTAAATTCACAAGTGAAATATAACTGTTATTCATCAAAACACCAAGATTATTCTTTTTATTACATCTTCCTCGATAAAGACATTGGCTTCTAAGAAAATGNTGTCACAATAGGATTAATGTCACAGTTAATATGACATTACCATATATTGACAATGCCCTTTGTTATTTTTCACACTAATCCTTACTTTTTGATCGGTCAAAAACATTGTGTTGTTGCTCATCCTTTCATTTTGAGTTGAGCTGCCACCATGAGAACTATGAATACCATCAGGTATCTTTCCCTGGATCACTACCGCCACATTGGATTAGACCCCACTGTAGGGATGTGGTGTCTCTGCCCCACATTTTGAAATCTCAACTTTGTCTGATATTTTTTCTGAAATTTTTGTGCACAGTTCCTTCACAGATTCCGCTGATGAAAGTTTCACTTCTCATGGTAACATTCATAACGTCATACCCTTGAGACGTCGCTAATAACGTCATAACCTTGAGACGTCGCTAACACAGCATCAGTTATAGCATCAGCATAAGACCAACACATTGATACAAGACTTAATTCACCACAACAAAAGTTTCTCTGTCAACGGAATGACATCATCAATATACGCCTATGATGACATCATCATTGTACAGCCGAATACAGAAGATGTATTGTTGCCTAATAATCCTAAGTGTATGTGTACGAAGTATGACATTACGATTCATAAATCTTTATTCAAGGTCACTCCGAAGCTTATCTTTTGGCCTGTAACAGGGTGACACCTCGGTGTTGGGATCAAGCATCTAAGATGTCCTATTTGTACAAATATTTGAGGCACATTGGGGTTCTATAAAAAAAAAAATGGGACATAAATAATCACAGGCATTTGTGTGTAAAGTTTGTATACAAACATAATTTGTGTAGCAAATTCAAAACCATGCACCATTAAAAATTCCTATTTTACAAGGCAGAAAAAATCTCCATTCATTTTATATGATAAAGAAACATGTATGTATAAATCAAGTTTAGAAATGAGACATTAAATACGAGAAATATCAATGTTTAAATTCTTAATTGTTTGATGAAGATGTAAATGATAATAAGGTTTTACAATTTGAAACCTTTTCTGAATGTTCTAGACAACATGTTTGAAAAAAAAGAACATAATGCAAAATATGATGAAATGTCTAGTTATTTACAATTTATATGAATAACGAAGCTCCAAAATCTATACCGACAGTACAAAAATTATATGAAAACATAGGTAGAATAGATGTAAAGGTTTTAAATCAATATAGAAAAAAAATGCTGTACAATCGTTTTTACAGGGACTGTGGAGTAACATTTTTTTTATACCTGATGCACATCAATATTTGATCACATAAGTTATAAAATTTCCATTAATACTAAAAAAACGTAAAAGCAAGAACAAACTACACGATAAGGTGTTTATAGAAATCAAAGTTTCTTGGGACTAATCATCAAATTTGTAGAAAAAATATCAAGAGTATTTGATTGTTGTATCAGGTGTCATTCCATGTTTTCCCATCTACACAAATCACACCGATACATTGTAAATACTGGTAAACCAAAATAAGAAAACGTGCATGGAATTCAATATTTGACAGACTGCAACACTGGTAAAACTCACTGCAGTAAAATAGCCTGTATAATATCTGTGGCTGAACTACCTTGAGTTTTGTTAAAAAATCATGATACATGTAATATATGACAATAAAAGTTGCATCACGTCATTTATTCCAACATAATACATAAACTGAAATAACAAATTTAATTTGCAGTATTTTTAGTAATATCACATTACACTTTAAGTTTGCACCACTTAAAATTCCATTTATTATTATATAAGATGATAAGATTATATACTATAAACGTACACATTTTAGCGCACTCAAATTTTAGCTCGTTTACAGATAAGTGCACTGATGAACAGGTGTACTGTCTAAATATGCAATAACGCATTTTGATGAATTGGTGTGTTGTCTATATACCAGATATGCAATAAAAAACTATAGACAAAAACTCCAATTACCACATTCATAATTTAGCACAATATTTAAAGGGTGAAAAATGCTGAAATTGGAATACCGCTAAAATATGTACATACTACAGTATACAAGTACTTTTCTTGCCGTATACAATCTAAACAGGACGTATTCATATACAGTATCTATATAGATTGCATCCAAAAGATCAATATGACAGTACGACTAAATCAAATTTGAAAATAGATTATTTCTGTTATAATTATTGCGTTATCTCATTATTCGAACACACAATTGACATTCACCGAATTAAAGAAAACAAGTTGATGGCACTCCAATAACAAAGATGTAATACACATCTACAGATGTACTATCATAAAACAATAACATCTGACAAAACAGACGATACTTTTTATATAAAAAAAATGACAACCACTATTCATCAATATATTGAAAATCCATACGTCATTAATTTTCATTGCCTCAATTCAAAAATATCCATTTCCATATTTGCAATTTTTAAAAATGTATCTCATTCTATATAGTCCAGGTGTTTGTAAACCCCAGCACATTCCAACTGTCTGCAGAGGACAGAATAAACTATTTTACATTGTTTAACAATATCATTGTCAATATTTACAAAGCAGATCCCATATAAATAGTTTCCTGAACACATTCAGAGGTTAGGTTTTAGAGAACCAATGAATGTGCTCTATATATACATTTCCTCTGTTGAGTTTCAAACAACATCATAAAGCAACATTGAGATGTTGACTTTGATAAGTCTGATGACATCAGATCTTGAAAGTGATGAAAAAAGCAAAATGATGAAATAATGAAGCAGTTTTGTTTAAAATGCCTTTTAATATATCACAAAATTTGCCCTTCTAGAAAAATGGCTTATGTAACTGTACATTTATAATGATTTAGGTTTCTCCTTTTATCCTATGGATGTCCAACAGTTTAAATGTGAAAAAAAAAGAATATCACAAAATGATCACTGTTACATGAATGTAGCATTACAATTGAAGCTCCTGTCATTATGAACAATGGACTAAATAGATGTAATATGAATAAGTTTTGGCGACCCAGTTATCACAAATCAGAAATATTTTTTTTTATTTTTTTTTATTATGATACATGTACTGGATTTTGAAGAGAAAAAAAATCGAACTCAAATAAAAACTCTTAGCTCAAGTAAAAATAAAACGAATGAAAATAATACAAAACTTTTTGAAAATATCTTATCTCCTTGGATTAACATGTGATTACAAAAAATTAGAATAAATTTCCAAATAAATTCGAAATTTCATTGATAGTATTTTCTTTCACAACATCAAAAACTAGATAACTTCTAATACATTATATCAAAATAATTGATTATATGTAAGAAATGTCTTTAATTATGATAATAAAGTGGATGAGTTGAGCTATTAAATGATGAATAATTCAGTTTATAGTTATTGAGTAAAACTATGCAACTAATTAGTCATCTTCTTTTGATTCCACTTTATCGACTACTTTCTCCTTTTTGTTTTTCTTCCCCAAAATCTTCATTAATCCTTTGCTCATGTAATAAGGCTTCTCAGGGCTTCCATCATGCATTTCTAGATCCTCCACTGAAATTCAATCACAAATGTATGAGATTTATAGAAATGGTACTAATTAATTCAAACTTTAATCTGCAGATGTTGGCCAAGATAGCCAAGTCGAAAACTTGTCAAAATTTAAAAAAAAGACTAAAATCATTTTTCCACTGTCACTAAACAACATTAATGCTAGACCCCTAAAGAACCTCTGTACATAAAATCATCCTCCTAACACTATTATTAAGTGAACAGCGAGCCATTACAAAACTTTAACTGAAACTTTAACCTGCTGATTTTGGCCAAGATAGTTAAGTGAAAAACATGTCGAAAATTGAAAAAAAACTCACCCACATTTGAAGTGTTCAGGTTGAAAAACAAGATTTGTCTAGTAATTAAATGAATAAAAATTAAGATGTTACTAGCATAGCTGTCAACCCTCCCTCATTAGGAGGGAGACTTCCTCATTTTGACCAAATTTTAACAATATCGGGATTATCCCTCGAAAATCCCTCATTCAAGCCCAAACTCACACAAGCTAAAAATCTACACCCTGTGGTCAAATGATCTACTAGTGACTGCAGAGTGTGTGTAATATCACAACAGATGTGTCTGAATCAAATGAATGCTTTTGGAGTTATTTTGATACATAAAAGGGAAAGATAAATTGAGCAAAGTAGTTCCAGTCTCATTTCAGGCACTTTCTCCCTTACTCAGGAAATGTGGGTGGTCCGAATTATTCTGACGTTTTTTCATACGGTCTGTTGTCGATTAACGTCTGAACTCTGGCCCTCTATAATATGCGGGAAATATGCGAACCGCGCCCGGATCGCACTTCAAACTGATATTTTAGAAACAAATCGTCACATAGTATCAATAACATGTTTCAAAGATCATTACGAAAAGTATTTTCCCGTTTTCTATACCAACCCATGATTTTAATGGAAATAAGGGCATGAGCAATGTCACATGACTTGACGAGATCTCGCGTTACCGAAGGTATTTCCCAACGTTATGACATAGGATGGCGAGATTTTAGTCACGTGGCATTAGAAGGCGGGGCTATCAAAAAACTAGAGTAAAACAGAGTAAGTTTGAACAAGAGGCCCAATGGGCCTGCATCGCTCACCTGGTATTAATCTAACAATTGTAACTTTAAAAGACGACTAAAATAAAGCTACAGGCAAAATATCAGCGTCTTGACTTAAAGTTTAAAGTAATTCAGAAAAAATGGGCAAAGGTCATTCATTTGAACAAACTTGGTAGCCCTTCATCCCAGCCTCTCCGTTATTCAGAAGAAGTCATTTTAAGGTTTTAAACATATCTGACCCCTGTGACCTTGAATATAAATCAAGGTCATTTATTTGAACAAACTTGGTAGCCCTTCATCCAAGCATGTTACTTGCCAAATATCATCACCCTAGGCCTCATGGTTATTCGGAAGAAGTCGTTTAAAAGTTTTACACATATTTGACCCCAGTGACCTTGAATATAAATCAAGGTCATTTATTTGAAAAAACTTGGTAGCCCTTCGTCCCAGCATGTTACTGGTCAAATATCATCACCCTAGGCCTCTTGGTTATTCAGAAGAAGTTGTTTAAAGGTTTTTAACATATTTGACCCCAGTGACCTTGAATATAAACCAAGGTCATTTCTTTGAACAAACTTGGTAGCCCTTCATTTGAGCATGTAACTGGCCAAATATCATCATCCTAGGCCTCTTGGTTATTCAGAAGAAGTCGTTAAAAGATTTTAACATATTTGACCCCTGTGACCTTGAACATTGATGAAGGTCATTTATTTGAACAAACTTGGTAGCCCTTCATCCAAGCATGCTTCTGGCCAAGTATTATCACCCTAGGCCTCTTGGTTTTTCAAAAGAAGTTGTTTAAATGTTTTTAACATATTTGACCCCTGTGACCTTGGATATAAGTCAAGGTCATTTATTTGAACAAACTTTGCAGCCCTTCATCCCAGCATGTTACTGGCCAAATATCATCACCCTTGGCCTCTTGGTTATTCAGAAGAAGTTGTTTAAAGATTTTAACATATTTGACCCCTGTGACCTTGAAAATTGATGAAGGTCATTTATTTGAACAAACTTGGTAGCCCTTCATCCAAGCATGCTTCTGGCCAAATATCATCACTCTCGGCCTTTTGGTTACTGAGAAGAAGTTGTTTAAAGTAAAAAGTTGACGACGGACGGACGACAGACGCCGCACCATGCCATAAGCTCACTTGGCCCTTCGGGCCAGGTGAGCTAAAAAATATGTTTTTAGTGATTGTATTGGTTGTTTGAGACATGTTATGTATGTTCATCTTGTGCATAAATAATAGATCTTTCTATCCATGTTTGAAGTGCGCTCCGGGCGCAGGTCGCATATTTCCTGCATATAATAGAGGGCCGGAGTTCTGACGTTAATCGACGACAGACCGATATGAAAAAAAGCTGATAAAACGTCAGAATAATTCGGACTAGAAATGTGGGATGAGGGAGATCTCCCTCATTGGAGGTTTTAGAGGTTGACACCTAGTGTACAAATACTCACAGAAACACAGGAACAGTGTGTCGACAGCCATCGTATACACACTGAAGAAAGAGCAGGTAATCAGATAGGTTCCTAGGATAACGACCTGTAAACAAACATTAACAACATTTATACCATAATAACTAGAATGAAGGCAGCCATTTACAATCACACAAGTCACGACATCACCTAAACTTTTATATCATTATACCTTATCTTAATAAAAATCGATTTCTGACTGGGTTATCTTGATCACATTATAAGGAAGTAAAACATCATGTCACCCTCACATGCTTGAGTTCCCCGGTGGTCATAACAACAACAATGGCACATCAGCCTGCTCATCTTTACCGTTGTAATATTGTTTTATTTCAGTATGTTAAATTATTCATTGCAGTTGTGCAAGGGAAACAAGAAAGTTTGTTTCCCATTGATAAATCCCGGTTGCCTATAAAAAGGGCAATAAAGGAATCATGACATCAATAGCACTTACTGAAGTTCATGTAATAACATCAATTACCCTTACTGTAATTCATGTAATCACATCAATTACACTTACTGATGTTCATGTAATAAATCAAATTACCCTTACTGTAGTCCATGTAATTACATCAATTATCCTTATTGTAGTTCATGTAATTACATCAATTATACCCTTACTGTAATTCATGTAATTACATCAATTACACTTACTGAAGTTCATATAATAAATTAAATTATCCTTACTGTAGTTCATATAATTACATCAATTGCTCACCTTATTGTAGTTCATGTAATTACATCAGTTACCCTGACTGTACAGTACATGTAACAACAAAGCTAATTCATCGACATTGACCGTGATACTTACGATAAAGGGGGTGAGGTAGTAATTGCAAAGCTAATTCATCGACACTGACCGTGATACTTACGATAGCGGGGGTGAGGTAGTAATTACAAGGCTAATTCATCGACATTGACCGGGATACTTACGATAAAGGGGGTTAGGTAGTAATTGCAAAGCTAATTCATCGACATTGGCCGTGATACTTACGATAAAGGGGGTGAGGTAGTAATTGCAAAGCTAATTCGTCGACATTGACCGTGATACGTACGATAACGGGGGTGAGGAAGTAATTACAAAGCTAATTCATCGCCATTGACCGGGATACTTACGATAACGGGGGAGAGGTAGTAATTAAAAAGCTAATTTATCGACATTGACCGTGATACTTACGATAACGGGGGTGAGGTAGTAATTAAGAAGAGGGATGAACTCGCTGAAGAGGCTCACTTTGCCCTGGAACCAGAAATAGGCTCCAACTCCTGTAAAATAAAAACGCAAATAATTAAATCTGTAATAGAGACTAAAATCTGTAATGGAGACTTAAATATCCCAGCCAAAACAGTCAGGGGAAGGCTGAGTAACCAGGGGAAGGCTGAGTGACCAGGGGAAGGCTGAGTAACCAGGGGAAGGCTGAGTAACCAGGGAAAGGCTGAGTAACCAGGGAAAAATGCAGTAACCAGGGGAAGGCTGAGTAACCAGGGAAAAATGCAGTAACCAGGGGAAGGCTGAGTAACCAGGGGAAGGCTGAGTAACCAGGGAAAATGCAGTAACCAGGGAACTCCACAAACGGTGTTAAGAAAGAGATGGTGAGTAATAATGCCAAGAATCCCTGACATAACATTACCAAAGAAGAACACCTAATTGAAGGGTCCAAGTCATAGGAAGAACCATAACCTCATGAGCTATGACCATGTACATATCTCACACCTACACTGTATCGTCATCGACACGTCTATAAGTATGCTGCAAACCACAGAAGTATCGGGAGATATCCTGTTGACCCTGATTGATGGGCAAAGCAGATGAGGTTGAGAACCCCACCTCCCTTAGTTTTATCAGACAGCAGAAATGGACATAATCTGTCCCACTCATCAGAAAAACCCAGAATGCATATCCATGGGCCAAGAGGGAAGACCACGCACCTGATTATTGGCCTAGACAACAGGTAATGTGAGCTAAGACAACACAGGATAACTTCTGGGACGACCAGAGACAACACAGGATAACTTCCTGGATGACCAGAGACAACACTGAAGGCAAGACAACGAGTGCGGTTTACTCTGTTCAAGACCAGATGTGACAGCTATTGGAAACTGTCTTGACAGAGACAAGCTTCAAGGAAGTAGAAGCATAGCTAGGTGTACGCATCAAAGATTCCAGCAAAGCCTGCAAATTTCACCACGGTATCAAGTGCCTGACACTTTAGACCAAATTGGTAGATCAATGCAGCCAAAGGACCTACATATGGTATTTTATGGAAAGAAAGCACACTACCATTTGCATTGTGTAAACCATATGAAGTGCCCAGCAAAGATTACAATCCTAAAACTAAGTCAAGAGAAAATCTAACAGAGCTGAAAAGTAGCGCCTTGACCAGATCAACCTCCCTCAGATGACGAGCACCAATCACAAATTACATCTGGATTTGTTGGCTGCTGCAGAGGAAGACTAGATTGATTGAGCAATCACAGGTCTTCACATCCCAGTCTCCTGTGATACAAGAGCCTTCATGTTAGAAAGTGGAGGATCTCTTGATGTGAGTGCATCAATCTGGACCAAGACTGGTGGAGGAGCAGATTCAGTCCTGGTAGATAATATTATCAGGCTCTGCTACCAGAAGTGATCCTAGGACTCAAGGAGTTAAGCCTGCCTCAGCCAGAAGGGAGACTCTAGAATGGAGCAATTAAATACTCTTTGTAGCTCCCTGTCTACAAGATTTAGCAGAGGAAATACCTGACATAATTCCCCTCCAGGAAAAAACACATCCAATTTGTTTCCAGGAGTAACAATGATGCCTGTGGAGGAATGATTAGTACAAGTCATCCTGGTAAAACACTAGCTGCTTGGTACCCGTTCGGCTATGGAGGATTTTTCTCAAACCCAACCGGAAGAGCGCCAGAATAGTAAAAACCAGGGGTCCCAGGTTCATCCTTTAGTGGAGGCACTGAACAAATAATTACCGCTGTTACACATATAATTTTTCAAAGATGCACTTTTTATTATAAATCAATTTTTGAATTGTAAACCTGCCAGTGTAGATAATTTAAACTTACCAATTGCAGCGGTCACCATGAGCTTGCTAAGGAACAGCACATAGTCTGTGACCTTATCTAACACCACCGCTCTGTCAACAAAGGTCAAGGTCATTAGTGCAATGGTCAAGGCAGTAATATAATTAAGGTAAAAGGTAAAGATTCATTCTCTCTCAAACTCGGCATCTTTCACAAAGAAAAACAAAGGTAATGTCGTATTCCAAAAGTACTTCAACAATATGACAATGGCAGAGGTTCTAAACATGTTTTTTTCCGTTATAGTGATTTTTATGTTTTTAATAAGAATGTTTACTTTGTAAATATATAGATCTTAATAATAATTTTTTGCAGTAAATTGACAAATGAGTGGTTGCCAATTCCATTTACATGGTCCAGCCCTGCAGTGATTTTTTACATTGAGAACAATGTTGTTGACTTTATTTATTTCCCTTATTTCATCTTTATCATTTCTCACTAAGTCCTTCAAGGTATGTTTTTTTCAGATTCCTTTTTTTTATCAAAGCCATGAGAAAAAAGTTTTTAATTCTTAAAAGTAGTTACAATTTTTGGCAGTGGTATGGGGATCCTGCCATTCAAAACTGCCTACACTACCAGACCAGTTTGTAGTTTACTATGGTCCTATAACAACCGTACACGTGGACGGTAACCAAAGTTAGGGTTTTAGCTGGCATTATTGCTTTGAACTTGTACCAACAAAACTGAATTGAGGAAATATTTTGATATATATGTCAGTACAAACATTATTACCTCACAACATTCCTCATGATTAAGAAGAACGCATCTTTAGCAGCTGTGCAGAAATTTTTCCCATAAACTGCTGTCTGTAATGTAAAATTTAAAAGGTAATAAAAAGATGACTTAATGTAATAAGTCAATATTCAACACTAATTTATTAAATCTAAATGTACCTGCCAGTAAATTGTCTTCCCTGAAAAGTCTCAGCTTACTGCCTATACAACAGTCAATGACAATATCATCCCTGATAAAGAGGTTGGAATTGTGTCCAAAAAAACCCAGGGTTTCTTCATTCCAAATTGAGTGAAAAAGTACATATGTTTTTTGTTAATAAATTTACATACAACAATAAATATACATTTTCCAAGGTTACTGGAAAGTGCTTCACAGTGGCATATTCTAGCTAATGTTGCATTTTTTTGTTTTTCAAATTCTTACTAAAGTCTTACAGTTTTAGAATCCTAGGCAGGTAGAAAGTAAACAAAAGACCAAAGGCTGATTGAAAATACCATCCAACATTGCAGATTTCTCCAGTAACTACTATAGGTCTTTAAAGCAAGCCCTTACTAGGTTAATCAACAGACTTTAAAGAGAAATCGGCATACATCAGAAAGGTAACCTGAAGTTAATTGTGTTATATCCGTGACTTGAAATCAATGAAATCAGCTAATACATGTATAACACAGATACAGCAATACAATAGTGGGCAGGGCTCACATAGATACTGTAAACTTGGAAAGTTTCGCTATTGTATAGCTTTCACCTGTTTCAGTCTCAATAATGTATGAGAGTGTATTTATGATAACTAGAATGCTGACTCCTCTGAAACAGTATAAGTGTGTTAGCAGATTTTTACTTACCATTATGTAAGCATTTCTGTTGAGGAATTTGATCAATCTTTCTACACAAGCGAAAAAGCACTTCAAGCACCTGGAAATATAACATTAACACAAATCTATTTAGGTCATACTCTAAATGAAGATACAAAAATTACATCCTTTTTTGTTTTCTCAAACTAATTTGAAATTATATTTTTATAAATAGGACAGTGGATTATGATTACTCTGACAGAAATGTTTTGACCGATAAAATACCTTGTTACATTGACAAACAGTTTAAGCCAATAAAATATGTTGTTACACTGACAGATAGTTTTAAGCCAATGAAATGTATTGCCTCACTGACAGACATTTTTAAGCCAATGAAATATGTTGTTACACTGACAGATAGTTTTAAGCCAATGAAATACCTTGTTACACTGACAGACAATTCAAAGCCAATGAAAAATCTTCCTACACTGACAATTGCAAGCCAATGAAATGTTTTGTTACACTCTTATTTTGTTCGGTCAATTGTAGAGGTATAATTTGAAGACTAAATAGAAGACTCATATTTTAGAACAGATGAATTATATTTACTTAGAACAATGCTTACTTAACCATAAACTTGGCCACCTTGTTTTCTGCACCTTTCAGTTTACTGTCCAGGTACTCCAGCGCCACCCGAATCATTTGTATGATAGCAATGATGAGCGACCCAAAGGCTAGTGTTCCAAGATGATACCTGCAATGCAGACAACAGAATACTGAAATTTCTGTATCATTTTATCAGACAGATCAGACAGAGATATCTGGGAATTCCTCAGCCTCTTAGGTAAGAGATACAAAAAATGGTCCTCTGTTGCCTATATATATAGGCTGTCTAAATGTTTTTTTTTAAATCATTGAATCACTGCAAACGTCCTGTTTTGAATTTTTATTGTTATAATAAGACATATTTGAAATAAATCCTCACTTGATGTAGGTAACGCTTGTAAGATTTCAATATTTCAGGATGTGATTACCCAGAGATTTGACAAACAAACCTGAGAGATCTGTGAAGTCCTGACATCAGAGGGAATGCTGGGATATCCTTAGGCTTTTCGAATGCCCAGTAGTAAGAGGCAAAGGCTCCCGCTAAAGTCATTTGACCAAGGGCAACGACAAAGTTCATCAACCAGAAAAACATGAACAACATAAAAACCTCCATTGTGATGATATAGTCTGTCCCTCCATATCTGACAAAGTCACAGAAAGACCCCACAGTAGAATTCTGTAAAATAATAATAAAAAAAAAAAAATCAGTTGATTTGTTTTAATAGATCATAGAATTAAATGTTAAACATGATAAAAAAGATGAAATTATATTAAAGAAAAGGGAGGACATGGCAACAGTGGAAGATGGTAAAAGAGAGTGGAGAGGAAGAGGTCGTAAAAAGAGAGATAGAAGGAGGTAATGAGAGAGGGAGTGGTGATGAAAAAGTGAGGTGGAAGAGAACAGGTGGTAAGAGGTAGATGAACGGTGGTGGTAAGTAAGGTAAAGTGGAGGATGTGGTGAGACAGGATGAGGTGGTGAGAGAGAAGGCAGGGTGTGAAAGAGTGTGAGAGGCAGAGATTGAGAGACAGAAAGGGGAGGAGGTGATGAGAGAGACACAATATAGGTGATGAGGTGGAATGAGAGAAAGGACAACGGTGAGGAAGCAGAGTGGAAAAAGGAGAAAGGTGAGGAGGTGGAGTGAGAGAAAGGAGAACGGTGAGGGGGAGGGAGGGAAAGGAGAAAGGTGAGGAGGCAGAGAGAGAGAACATAGAAAAGTGAGGAGGCAGAGTGAGAGAAAAGAGAAAAGGTGAGGAGGTGGAGGGAGAGAAAGGAGAACGGTGAGGGGGTGGAGTGAGAGAAAGGAAAAAGGGGAGGAGGTGGAGTGAGAGAAAGGAGAACGGGGAGGTGGAGTGAGAGAAAAGAGAACAGTGAGGAGGTGGAGTGAGAGAAAGGAGAAAGGTGCGGAGGTGGAGTGCGAGAAAAGAGAAAGGTGCGGAAGTGGAGTGAGAGAAAAGAGAAAGGTGAGGAGGTGGGGTGAGAGAAAGGAGAAAGGTGAGGAGGCAGAGTGAGAGAACATAGAAAAGTGAGGAGGCAGAGTGAGAGAAAAGAGAAAAGGTGAGGAGGTGGAATGAGAGAAAGGAGAAAGGGGGGAGGTGGAGTGAGAGAAAAGAGAAAGGGGAGGAGGTGGAGTAAGAGAAAAGAGAAAGGTGAGGAGGCAGAGTGAGGAGGTGGAGTGAGAGAAAGGAGAAAGGTTAAGTGAGAGAAAGATGATGAGGTGATGGAAGAAAAGGGATGAACTGAAGTGGAGGGAAGGAGGTGAAATGAGACAGTGACACGAGATGACTATACCGAAGTGAGGAGGTGGAATGAAAGAAAGATAAGGAGCTAGAGGTGGAGTAAGAAAGGGGAGGAGCTAGAGGTGGAGTAAGAAAGGGGAGGAGCAAGTGGTGGAGTGAGAAAGGGGAGGGGCTAGTGGTGGAGTGAGAAAAAAGATAGGAGGTGAAATGAGATAGGGGAGGAAGTGGAGTCAGATAACGAAAGGTGAAGAAAGAGAAAGGGGAGGAAGTGGCACAAGACAAAGGGTTGTAGGTAATTCAACAGAATGGGGAGGAGGGTGGGGAAAGGTTAGGGGCAAGTTATGAGAGGGGACTTAAATTGGGAGATGGGAGGAGATAGTATAAAGCAGCACGGAAGAAAGAGAAAATCTGATCCCTTCCTGTTCGTAAGAATTAGAAGGAGATGGAAAGGAACATTGAGGGAGAAAAGACAAGAGGAAAAAATTGAGGGAGGCATATAAACATATGGCAGTGATATATCAATGAAATAACTTACATCAGGTGTACAAGGCACTCTGTCCAAGACAGAGTTGATGCTGTTTGCGACATCTGTACCATTGGAGTAGTACTCAGGTCCTCCTATAGACGCTATGTAACTATACAGGTCAAGGACAACTTAATTTAAACATTGCATGGTGAAGTTTATATTTACTGTTCCTATCAGACAGCATTGTGTTCATTAATATAGTACATGTATTATGGAACCTCTTCAATATGCCAATGTTTTTATGGTATCTTTATACAAATTTTCTTTACAGGGACTTTTCTGTCAGACAGTTTATTGAAAATATCTTGTCTGCAACAAAATTAATATCAATTTTGAGAAAAAAGATTACCCTGTATAAAGCGTAAATGCCCTGACAACAAAACTGTTACCATTTCAGAAATAGATCAATAAACATAAACTGCCCATAGCCACAAAGTGTGATATCAGACTATATGCAAGACAACATGATAGAGGTACCCTGCATACAGTTTCTTACATCCGAGTTTGTACAAAGACGAAAGTGCACAGGAATTAAGAGCCACGTTAAACTTTAAGAAATCTAAGTAATACTTAGAGATATTGTAAACTTAAATTGAAGGTATGGTACTAAGAAAACTGCATATGATAAAAATGTCATCTATCTGTGTTTCCAAGGATACATAGCACTGGCGCCCATGTAGGCCACTACGATCACCTGTAGGACAAACGGGATGATCGGCCAGAAGAGGGTAAAGATCATGTTACCGATTGCCCTGAAATCAACAAAGAAAACAGAAAAGTTATTGTACATAAAAAAGTTAAGAATAGATCAAAAGTATATTCAAAATAATCGAGAAATAATAAACATATGCTGATGTACGTATTATGGTATCATGATTGTTTTTTTTCTCTCTCCCTAACACGTTTTGAATCCAAAGTTCCATATTCTATCATAATATACCAAAATATGTTAATGATATCTATTCTATCATATCAAATGTTATGAAATGCATTTTTGATTGACCAGGTCTAAATTGACGTGAGTTGGTGAATGTGCCCATGGGTGTTCTTTATGATATAAGAACTGCAGTTTGTATGTTCTGGGGTGGTCAGGTAGTGCAGCGCATAACGCACATGTCTTTTACCAAGGCGCCCAGGGTTCAATTTCCTAATAGGACGCGTACGTGAAAAGATATGGGTTTATCTGCCTGACCACGTGGGTTTTTTCCCGGTACTGCGATTTCTTCCCACATTACGACCCTCCGTGAGCTAGCACCCGTGTCAACAGGAGTGATTGATATAAGTTGTGAAAACTTGCTTCATAAATAAAATTATATTTATCTTTGTGTATATCTATGTATCATTATGTAAATAGTAGCAGCTAGGTGTTAGACAGAACCAGGTGTGTTATTTATTGATATATTTGATATAAATAAGGACTGGTCAGGTTCTGAGGTTATTACTCCTGCTGAGCTAGTGATAATTGAATATACTGCAAAGCAGGATGAAGCAGATGGAAAACCATGATAGATGTGTTAAAACCGATGGGAGGTGTTTTTTCCAGTTAATTGTTCATACTAATTTCATATATATTTCTGATCCGCAGATACAAAAATAATTTTCAAATGGGAGGTGTTTTTTCCTGTTAATTGTTCATACTAATTTCATATATATTTCTGATCCGCAGATACAAAAATAATTTTCAAAACGATTTAACGTAGGATGAGTTCAATAACAGAAGCAGCCTGAAATTTGTCTAAACCTTAATTATATAACTCCATCAACATCTACTGTTCATGATAATGTCACACAATTGTCTTTAATTTGCTTATCTCTGCCTACATATACTGAGGTCAACGTCATGGAATCTTGTCAACATCTTTGGTTAGGTCATGAGATGAAAACTTCTGCTTACACAAACAATGGTCATTGAGTAAATATACGTGTAGACTGTAACTATACTATTTCTTTTATATACATAAGTAGCTTGTTTTGAACATCTTTCAAGATGGGCCTGATTAGCAGATTAAATGTTTGTGTCTCACATCCTACTATCAGCTGCGTTCATTTAAAGACGTCCCAGGTTTTGGTGATGGAGGAAAGCCCGACATGCGGCCAATACCTGGCAACTGCACTATGCACTATGCGACCCAGTGGTGTAGGACTAGTGATTGCAGACGGTCAGATGGCTTAACTACGTATATACTCAGCCACCTCAGCAGATTTAAACTTGTTGTAAGTCATGTGCTGAATTAAACAACCCACTTACCTACTACCCTCTTTGATAAGCTCGATGGCAATGCAAATTCTTGACACCAAGAAGATGAGGATGAGGAGAAATATGGCAAGGAAGGTCGCTGTTGTGCAGCCTAGAAAACAAATCCCGAACATTAAATAATTCATACTCTGATCAATACGTCTTTTCTAAAGGATATGACTCATTATAAGGTTAGACAAAGAAGAACCTTTCACTTTTAACACCCGTGCAATGTGACTAGCAATGGCAGTTTTATAAAGTTTGCAAATCCGTTTGAAGGTTCATTTAAAAACTGAAACTGACAGTGTATGTCAATTGATTTAAAATGCATGAATATGATTGAAACATAGAAGGAAGTGTATTTAATTCGTATAACAACATTATATCAATAATCACAGACACATTACGAAAGCTTACCAAATGCCAACCAGGTCTCCTTTAGACCGAGGTAATAACTAAAGTTGAGGGTGAAAAGTTCCGAAACCCCAAACTCTGCTGTAACGTTCTGGTTCTTCAACTCATAGTACTGGGAGTAGCTGTAGTAACAGCCTACAAAAAAATAAAAAAATGTTTTAGTGCTTAAATAAAATAAAAAGATGACTTAAAGGAAAGTTATAACAGTTTGATTATATTAACAATTTGGGATAAAACAAACTGTTGCTCGCTACTTCCTGTTTCCCATCCTTTCATTCCTACCACTCCTAGCACTTTCTGAACTAATTTATAACTTATAATTTGTTCAGCAAGAATAAGACTTGTACATACAGTTCTTTACAGATATCTATAAATGGTCCATTTTGCTTTAATGTTTTCAATAAAACTTAGATGATCTATGCATATTTATGTTTTTCCAATATTAAACTGAAATTGAAAATCTGTATTATTGGTTTCAAAATATTCACTGTAACCTGTGGAACAGGAAACCATTTGAAAATGTTGAAATATTTTTGTAATAATGAAATTTGACTTACAGTTATAGGGCTATGCCATTTTATATAAAAGCTATGGTCAACCTATTTTTTTGTATCATATGACATGTAACGTGGGTGATATCAACTTTAGCAAAGTAATGAAATGAAGCAAGGTTACGTTACAAGTTGTGTTTGTATCAATACATGTGCAACACTTGGGGAATAAGCAGTGGTAATACTTACTTCCCTTTGATCAATATATTAACAATTATCACAACACGAGTCAATACAACTTGCCAATATTTAAATTACCAAGACAGAATTAAACATCAAAACAAAATTTATTTGTGTGATTGTTTGCTGAATATGGCCTGAGAAATATAAGTTGAATCTTTTAAAAGATCCCTATTTTGCTGCAGGCAAACCACTATAGATATCTCCACTGGTTTTTTTGTACATATATATAGTCTAACATGCTACTTGTTACTGTAAATTGAATATTTAAAATGAAATTTCTGAGTCTGTCTTTCGTCATTTAAGAATCACATTCGGTTGACTTATAATGTACAAGATCTTAATGATGTTTCGAAATTTTTCCAGTGGTCCCGCAAAGATTGAAACATAGATAGAAGTTTTATTGTGTAATAGAGGTTATTATAGTCTTCCAATGACTCTACTAGGAGTCGAACTCAGGACCTCTGGGGTACTAGTCTTACTCTCTACAGAAATAGCAAAGTTGGAAGGAAGCGGTGAGTATTTTATTACGGTGACAACTGTTATACAATAATAAATTTGAAGAAGTACATACCAAATCCCATGAGAGCCAGAACTGCAACGATGCTGACCCAGACGAGGATGCCAGCAAACCATCGGAGAAGAACAATCCAGATGAAGCAGACAATCATGGCTATCCCCAAGAAGCTGTGAAGAAAAACGTTACATGTATTGTAGCAAGAGGCTCATGGGCCTCAAAGGTCACCTGAGTTATGTAAAAACAGATGTTATCGATGTTGCAAAATGAAAAAGAAATCCTTTTGTAACAAAGGTAACTTGAACTACATGTAATGCAAAAGTAGTGTGAAAGATTCTTTTTGGGAAGTATATGTACTATGTACAAATAGTGGTTCTGTCAGTCAGCTGATATTTGGTAAAGCACCTTAAGGCCCTTCCATCTATGAAGAGTATTTGATTCTACCATATCTAGATCTTGAGAAGAATATTTATGAAATTTCAGTCAATTTGACCCTTTTTGGCCGAGCCCCTCAGGCCCCTGGGGGCTGACAGGGGACCATATAATTCACAATTAAACTATAGCAAAGTTTACCACCACCCCAGGGGGAAACATGAAACCCCAGGGTCATGAAATTTACAAATGTGGTAAAGCACCTTAAGATCCTTCTATCTATGAAGAGTATTTGATTTTACCATATTTAGGTCTTGAGAAGAAGATTTTTGAAATTTAAGTCAATTTGGCCCCACCCATCAGCCCCTGGGGGTCAGTCAAGGCTGATATGTGCATACCATCAAACTGCTATCCAATCCCAATAATGCTAACCAACTTTGAACTAATTCCAGTGGAAATTAAACAAATGTTGGTCCAAAATGTGATTTCCCAATATAAACTATAGTTAAGTTTATCACCTCCCAAGGGGGAAACGTGAGACCCCAGGATCATGAAATTCACAATTTTGGTAAAGCACCTTAGGCCCCTTGCATCTATGAAGAGTATTTGATTCTACCATATTTGGGTCTTGAGAAGAAGATTTTTGAAATACCAGTCAATTTGACCCTTTTTGGCCCCACCCATCAGCCCCTGGAGGTCAGTCAAGGCTGATATATGCATACCATCAAACTACTATCCAATACTGATAATGCTAACCAAGTTTGAATAAATTCCAATGGAAATTAAACAAATGTTGGTCCAAAAAGTGATTTCCCAATATAAACTATTGTAAAGTTTATCCCCTCCCCAGGGGGAAATGTGAGACCCCAGGGTCATGAAATTCACAATTTTGGTAAAGCACCTTAAGACCCTTGCATCTATGAAGAGTGTTTGATTCTACCATATCTGAGTCTTGAGAAGAAGTTTTTTTGAAATTTCAGTCAATTTGACCCTTTTTGGCCCCACCATCAGCCCCTGGGGATCAGTTAGGGCTGATTTGTACATATCATCAAACTGCTATCCAATACAGTACTAATAAGACTAACCAAGTTTGAATGAATTCAAATGGAAACCAGAACTGTAACCCAAAGGCTAACTAATACCCCCACTGCTATATAAACTAGAACTGTAACCCAAAGGCTAACTAATACCCCCGCTGCTATATAAACTAGAACTGTAACCCAAAGGCTAACTAATACCCCCACTGCTATATAAACTAGAACTGTAACCCAAAGGCTAACTAATACCCCCGCTGCTATATAAACTAGAACTGTAACCCAAAGGCTAACTAATACCCCCACTGCTATATAAACTAGAACTGTAACCCAAAGGCTAACTAATACCCCCGCTGCTATATAAACTAGAACTGTAACCCAAAGGCTAACTAATACCCCCACTGCTATATAAACTAGAACTGTAACCCAAAGGCTAACTAATACCCCCGCTGCTATATAAACTAGAACTGTAACCCAAAGGCTAACTAATACCCCCACTGCTATATAAACTAGAACTGTAACCCAAAGGCTAACTAATACCCCCACTGCTATATAAACCAGAACTGTAAGTTAAAGGCTAATTACTAAGGCAAAGCATTGCAAAGCAATCCATAGTCTCCCACAAGTATCAAGTATTTCGTACAAAGGGGCATAATTCCATCAAAAAGGGTTGAAATCCCAAATTAAAATGCCGGTGCAAAACTACATAAGATACTGATCATTCATGCAAAAATTCAATGAAATCCACCTGTTCATTAAGGAGGAGTTACGCAGACAAGTATTTCACAAAAAGGGGCATAACTCCATCAAAAAAGGTCGAAATACCAAATTAAAATGCCGGTGCACAACTTCATAAGATACTGATCATCCATGCAAAGTTTCAATGAAATCCACCTGTTAATTAAGGATGAGTTTTCCTGACAAGTTACTGCGGATGACAGACAGATCGACAAGACAGGGTGATTCCAGTATACTCCCCCCCCCCCCCCCCCCCCCTCCTTAACTTCGTTGCAGGGGTATAATTAAACAAATGCTGGTCCAAAATGTCATTTCCATATATAAACTTAAGTAAAGTTTAACCCCTCCCCAGGGGGAAACGTGAGACCCCAAGGTCAAGAAATTCACAATTTTGGTACCATATCATTTAAATTGTTTACGGACGGACGCCGGACGCCACCAGACAAAAGGCGATCGCAATAGGTCACTGGAGACTTTGTCTCAGGTGACCTTAAAATGTGTACCGTAAAAACGGAATTGTGCATGATGCATTATACAGTTCTTTACAACTATATATATACCTCATAAAAAATGAAATATTGAACACTTTCAAATCTAAATTACAAATCAGAATTTATTTGATATAAATGTTCCTATTGTCCTAAAAGAGTATCAAATTTAACGCCGCACAATAAAAAAAATGACTCGATAAAAAAAGTTGAATATTGCACACTCTTACAAATTACAAATAAAGGTTTATTAAATATGAATGTACTTATTGTTCTAAAACAGTATCAAATGTACAGCCACACAATAGAAAATAATGAAATATTAAGTAGATGTCATAACACATATACATGTAACTCAATAGTTTTGCACAGGGTAAGTGTTGGTACTGAAACTGAATGAGCTAGACCATTAAGATTGATACTTACATAAGCATGAGATACCAAGCTGTCACGATGTCCTTGAACACCAGTTCCACAACCTGGGTCGCAGATAAAAATGTAGCTAGATACCTAAAAGAAATGAATGACAATCCATCATTTAATGTTACGACAAAGCTTTCTTATAACTCATTTAACTTGTTTGGCATTTAATCAGATTGACATTTAATCATGTCTGTGATATCTGTTAAATTTTAATTAATATTAATCAGAATATGATTACCTCTTTTATAATGTCCAGTACTGTTAACTTATTCACCCCTGTAATTTTATAATAAACTAGTTCAGCTTTGGAATTGGAAGAGTTCAAATGTGTCCTCAGGGTGAACGAGTTAATGTGGAATTCTTTGCAGTGTCTAAAAACTTGTTTTTTTTTTGTGTTAAGTAAATTAGCAGGAAAAAAGTCCAAATGCGAATATTTATTTATATATTTTATAGATACATAGAATAGTCATATTTCAGAACTATAACCAATCCAAACAATTCCATACCACAATCAATTTAACGAGTCAAATCACAAATATTTATTCACATATGAGAATTTTCACTTTCTCTGTGGCAATTCGTGGTTATCGTCTTTGTTATCAAAATTTTGAGGCTCAGGCATTGTTTCAGAGCAATCTGAGCAACAGTTATGAATGTTAATTGTTCATCATTAATGAAAGATTGGCATTAAGAAATTGGTTTGTTCAGCACTAAGGAATACTGACTCGCTGGCAGATTCAACGAGGCTCCCGGTGACCTCCGTTCCTCCAGCTGTGGTGATGTTGAAGTTTCCTGATGTCACCAGTTCTTTTGACTTGTCAACAACAGTAAAGAAAATGGATGGCACACAGCGACCAACAACTGAAAAATAGAATTCAACAAAGATTGTTTAATTGGACAGGTTAGGTTTTCCAGATTAACTTCAGAACACAGTCAGCGAGGGCCGCGCTATGTGTCTCACCGTACCTCCCCCTCATTGTCTATTTTTAGTAACTGTAGCATTGGCCTTGACCTTAAAAACTTTTCAAATCCCTATTGCACATCTACATATATCACAATATATATTGCTTTGTCTAAAAGATCAGCCTTTTGGATTCCGAGCTACGGACTGTACCCTTCCCTCCATTGATACATTTTTAGTAACAATGACCTTGATCTTGACCTTAGTGACATTTTAAACCCCTATTGAACATTTACAGATCACAGTGTATCGACCATGTCAAATTTAAAAAAGATTTGACATTTATATTTTGAAGGAAATGACTGTATCCCTTACAGTCTATTTTTAGTAACAATGACCTCGACCTTGACACCGCGATAACTACAGGGCACTCAAATCTCCAAAAGTGAGGCTCCATAAAAATTCATGCACACATTTATTAGGACTGAATAGGGAAAAAAAGAGAACTTCACTGGTTACCTTACAAAATGATGTACATACTTGCGGTGTTGGGGAGGTAATCGTTACCCTTCAAAGTGATGTACATACTTGCTGTGTTAGGGAGGTAATAGTTACCCTACAAACTGATGTACATACTTGCGGTGATGGGGAGGTAATCGTTACCCTTCAAAGTGATGTACATACTTGCAGTGTTGGGGAGGTAATCGTTACCCGACAAAGTGATGTACATACTTGCGGTGTTGGGGAAGTAATAGTTATCCTACAAAGTGATGTACATACTTGCAGTGTTGGGGAGGAAATATAATAGTTACCCTACAAAGTGATGTACATACTTGCAGTGTTGGGGAGGAAATATAATAGTTACCCTACAAAGTGATGTACATACTTGTGGTGTTGGGGAGATAATCGTTACCCTACAAAGTGATGTACATACTTGTGGTGTTGGGGAGATAATCGTTACCCTACAAAGTGATGTACATACTTGTGGTGATGGGGAGGTAATAGTTACCCTACAAAGTGATGTACATACTTGCGGTGTTGGGTAGGTAATCGTTACCCTACACAATGATGTACATACTTGCGTGTTGGGGAGGTAATAGTTACCCTACAAACTGATGTACATACTTGCAGTGTTAGGGAGGTAATAGTTACCCTACAAAGTGATGTACATACTTGTGGTGTTGGGGAGATAATCGTTACCCTACAAAGTGATGTACATACTTGCGGTGTGGGGGAGATAATCGTTACCCTACAAAGTGATGTACATACTTGCTGTGTTGGGGGAGGTAATAGTTACCCTACAAAATTATGTACATACTTGCTGTGTTGGGGGAGGTAATAGTTACCCTACAAACTGATGTACATACTTGTGGTGTTGGGGAGGTAATAGTTACCCTACAAAGTGATGTACATACTTGTGGTGATGGGGAGGTAATAGTTACCCTACAAAGTGATGTACATACGTTACCCTACAAACTGATGTACATACTTGCGGTGTTTGGGAGATAATAGTTACCCTACAAACTGATGTACATACTTGCGGCGTTAGGAAGGCAATAGTTACCCTACACAATGATGTACATACTTGCGGTGATGGGGAGGTAATAGTTACCCTACAAAGTGATGTACATACTTGTGGTGATGGGGAGGTAATAGTTACCCTACAAAGTGATGTACATACTTGTGGTGATGGGGAGGTAATAGTTACCCTACAAAGTGATGTACATACTTGCAGTGTTGGGGAGGGAATAGTTACCCTACAAAGTGATGTACATACTTGTGGTGATGGGGAGGTAATAGTTACCCTACAAAGTGATGTACATACGTTACCCTACAAACTGATGTACATACTTGCGGTGTTAGGGAGGTAAAAGTTACCCTACAAACTGATGTACATACTTGCGGCGTTAGGAAGGCAATAGTTACCCTACACAATGATGTACATACTTGCGGTGTTGGGGAGGTAATTAGTTACCCTACAAACTGATGTACATACTTGAGGTGATGGGGAGGTAATAGTTACCCTACAAACTGATGTACATACTTGAAGTGTTAGGGAGGTAATAGTTACCCTACAAAGTGATGTACATACTTGCGGTGTTAGGGAGGTAATAGTTACCCTACAAAGTGATGTACATACTTGTGGTGATGGGGAGGTAATAGTTACCCTACAAAGTGATGTACATACTTGCAGTGTTGGGGAGGAAATATAATAGTTACCCTACAAAGTGATGTACATACTTGCAGTGTTGGGGAGGTAATCGTTACCCTACAAAGTGATGTACATACTTGCGGTGTTGGGGAGATAATCGTTACCCTACAAAGTGATGTACATACTTGCTGTGTTGGGGGAGGTAATAGTTACCCTACAAGCTGATGTACATACTTGCGGTGTTGGGGAGGTAATCGTTATCCTTCAAAGTGATGTACATACTTGCGGTGTTGGGGTAATAGTTACCCTACAAACTGATGTACATACTTGCGGTGTTGGGGAGGTAATCGTTATCCTTCAAAGTGATGTACATACTTGCTGTGTTGGGGGAGGTAATAGTTACCCCACAAACTGATGTACATACTTGCGGTGTTGGGGAGGTAATTAGTTACCCTACAAACTGATGTACATACTTGCGGTGATGGGGAGGTAATAGTTACCCTACAAACTGATGTACATACTTGCGGTGATGGGGAGGTAATCGTTACCCTTCAAAGTGATGTACATACTTGCAGTGTTGGGGAGGTAATCGTTACCCTACAAAATGATGTACATACTTGCGGTGTTAGGGAGGTAATAGTTACCCTACAAAGTGATGTACATACTTGCGGTGTTTGGGAGGTAATAGTTACCCTACAAACTGATGTACATACTTGTGGTGTTGGGGAGGTAATAGTTACCCTACAAAGTGATGTACATACTTGCGGTGTTGGGGAGGTAAAAGTTACCCTACAAA